CCTTTACCCCTGTAGACTTACCTGGAGAGACCTGCTCTGTACCATACTGTCTGGCTTGCCATGTGCATGTAAACATGCACGTGATGCCCCCTGATCATGATCCCCCCGCATGCATTGGGCCCAGGGCCACTCCCCCCCTCTCCTGCTGCACCTTGGCATCCGGGCCCACTCCACCCGCCACCACCTCTAATGAGCTGGGAGGTGGGGGAGAGGGCAGGCCAGCACTTCTTGCCTCACCCCCCCTGTGCCATCACCACCACCTTCAGGGAGCAGGGCTGGGTGGGGCGAGACCAGCAGTGCTGGCCTCACCCGCCCTGCTCTGTCCCCGCCGTCATGGCAAGGCTCTGCCACTATCTCCTCTCTGGAACGCTCTTGGAGCACTCTGGTTGTTTCAGACAAGCAATCAGAGTGCAAATAAAGCGTTATGGACAGATAGACTAAGGCTTTTATAATATTAGAATAATGAGTTATGGAACTAGAACTATACACAGTGTTGTTTAGCTGAAATGTGATTTAAATTATCTATCCTATTATTTTCCTTTTTGCTCCACATTTGAAGCTTCTCTGACAAGAGGAAAAGCAAAAGGAGTCTCACATGAATTAAAAGTATATTTATTTTCTTCTTAATTAAGGCAAGCCATAACTGCTACAGCCCTAAAGCAAACATGGGCAGCTATAGTCATTCAGAAGTACTGTCGAGGATACCTTGTCCGTAAACTTTGTCAGCTCATCCATGTGGCTGCTGTAACAATTCAAGCTTATACACGAGGATTTTTAGCAAGGAAAAAATACCGAAAGGTACAACATTTTTTGTGTGATCCTAGTGAATGGGAATAGCTAATGTACTATAAAATGATGCTTAAAACTGTATATTTTATACAAATGATTCTGGACTCTTTCAGCGGGTCAGTGTAGTATTATAGACAGTAATCTATATTGAACCTCAGAATTTCATGTAAGTTGCAGCTTGGTTGTCTAAGTTTTAAATGTTGGGAGGCAATATTATGGTTTTGATATGCTATTTAAATATATTAGTTCTTTGACACTTTCTGTAGAAACAATTCTTTATCTATAATATAGATTTACAGAATATGAGCCAGTGCTGATTGCTCTACCAGCTCTCTCCTTTTCCAGATGCTCAAAGAACACAAGGCAGTTATCCTTCAGAAGTATGCCCGTGCCTGGCTTGCAAGGCGTAGATTTCAAAACATTCGGCGGTTTGTTTTGAATATTCAACTTTCATACAGGGTTCAGCGATTACAGAAGAAACTAGAGGACCAGGTAGGTGACACACGTGCTTTTATTCAGAACCAGATACATTGTGAATTGAACATTTGTGTGATCAATATAATCTCAAGCTTATCTGGCAAGATAAAAAATTGTACAAAAAATATGGACCTTTATCCTTAAAAGCATAAATCAATCACTGTCTTCCTGCTGTACTGTATTTGTCCACCAAGGGAATTTCTTGCATCTTTGGAGCATTTGGTATTGGCCCCTGTTGAAGATGAGATTTTAGACTAGAAGGACCACTAGTCAGACAATTGCATGGCAATTTCTGTGTTCTCTATAACTCTTCAGCCGGATCTCTTTGACCCTTTTCATACTGGGATTAGAACTGTGTTGGCAACAACTCTAGTTGACACATTTGCTGATTTTTGTGGTCTAGCATGTTTTCCTTTCAAAAATGTTTTACAAGATCCATCCCAGGCAAATTATTTTTTTTAACAGCATTAATGTGGTTTTGAAGGGGACGGGGGTGGGGTGAAATCTCTGGCTTCAGTAAAGGGGATTGAGCAAGAGCAGTCAGAGACAGGCTTGGGTAGCTGCTTTCTTATATGCGAGGTAAGGATATAAATGGGGTTGTCCAGGTATTACTTGACTCTGTACCTAAGCATCATAATAAGGTCTGCTTGAATAAGATTTTGGTATGCTAGTACTGTTCAAAATCCTGTTTTAAAAGTTAAAGAAATGACCAGTATCATTTTCCAATACAAGAAACTAGAGGTAATTTGGCAATTGCTGAAAGGATAGAGCAGAAAGTTTTACACTGATAATCTAAGTTACCAAGCAGAATGGAACAACATTTTTCAATTGGTATCATTCTTACCTATTTTTAATCATTGTAGAACAAAGAAAATCATGGCTTACTGGAGAAATTGACCAGCCTAGCTTCAACTCATGCACATGACCTAGATACAATCCAGAAACTTGAATTAGAACTTGAAAAATTAACCACACAAAAAAAAATCTCCGAGGATAAAGGGAAGAAATACAAGGATGACAAGGAACAGGTTAATCTTCTTGTTCTTGCTTGCAATATAATTTTGTCTTTTGGTTACTATGACAACTCTGATTCTGGCCATCGCTGTGAATCTACAACCCCTAGTAAAGCCCATGTTCTGTTTCAACTATAAGATGTGTGTTTTTAATGAAGGATTTTTTACATTCAGTATCATGTTTACTTATATTTGCAGAAAATCTCAAAACTTGAGAAACAAGCTAAAGAATTACACGAAGAGAAAGAAGTTTTACAAGCGAAGCTCCAAGAGAAAACAGAGGAAATGAAAGGTATAATAATGAAAAATCAGGCAGCTTTAGAGCTGCAATGGGGAAGATTTCTAGGGACATGTACAAGTATTGAGTTTAGCTCCACTGAAGTCAACAGAGATGCACCAGTTTGCAGTAGCTGAAGATCTGGACCAAGTTTTCATCACTCATGTTTGCACAGTCCATAGACCAAGACTTACATTTCAAGAATTTGTTTATGTCAGGGGTGGGCAATTATTTCAGGCAGAGGCCTACTTACTGAGTTTTGGCAAGCCATCAAGGGCTACATGACAGGCAGCGAGGGGCAGATAAATATTAATTTTCTAAATTTTTTAGGGGCCCCATGAGCCAGATAGAATGGACTGACAGGCCACATCCGGCCTGCGGGCCACATTTTGCCCACCCCTTGTCCATGTAGTAACAAATGCTCTCCTCTCATCCATGTCTACTGTCTCTGAAAGAGCATAAGCATTTTCTTCAGAACTCTTGCCTTTCCTTGATTATCTTGATCAGTTGTTCTTAAGTATCCCAGTTTACTTCAATGAGTAGTGCATGGGATCAAAATCATTAAGTGTATTTTAGAATTAGGAGTATTTTTATGTTGCAGAACCAGCTTATCCTATAGTGATACGTCTCAAGATTAGCATGATTGTATGTGATATGTGAGAGTTTAATTCTAAACTAAAATATCCAAACTGCTTACTAGAACAAAAAATTATATTCTTCATTTTTAATTACCTCATTGTCACATGGAACAACTTTCAGATATGGAATTATTTTTTCACAGATAAAATGGATGACCTTACCAGACAACTCTTTGCTGATGTACAAAAAGAAGAAAGACAAAGAATGTATGGAATATAATTTAGATATTTTAAACCTACATTTTTCTTACTCTCTCAGCCTTTTTTTCCTTGTATTATGCATAAGAATATGCATCTCTTAGTACTCCAGGATTTATAGCAGTGGGTGCATCTACACATGCAATTACACGTGTCACAGCATGTACACCTGCGTCTGAGACGGCAGCAATTTATGGCCATGGTCAGCGTCTACATATGCTTTTAAATGCAGTAAATTCCCCCATCATTAGACAATACAGGCTACCCTTGCCATTTGCGGGGGATACGGTCTCATATCCCCCATGAATGGCAAAATCCATGAATAAGGTACTGTGTTGATTAGCGCAGTGCCCCTGGCAGCTGGGGGGTGGTGGGAGGGGTGGAGGGCACAGCTTCGGCAGAGGGCGTATGGCGGTGGGAGCACAGCGGCAGCAAGTGCAGAGCTCCCAAGGAGCTCCTGTAAGTGTATAAAGTGTATTTATTTAAAATGCGGGGTTGGCATTCACAAATGCCAAACCCACGAATAGTGAGGGTTTTCTCTACTGTCCGCAACAATACTATCTTACAGTGACATTAATTAGTTTATTGCAACCTAATACCATTGCACGTGTAGACGGTGATGTTCCATAGCTAATTAGTCTACTCTGTAGTTAGGTGCATGTGTAGACATGGCCAGTATATATTTACTTTAGTAGGAAATTACGATTCCACGAAGATGAGGATAAAAACTTGAATGTGGGCCAGTCACATGTAGGAAGTTATACTGTAGAACTGGAATCCTTTTGCTTCTAGAATTGTGTTGTTTCAATCTTTCGACAATCAAGAAGAGATTCTAATCATAACAATCTCTCTGGAGATGCCTTTTAATGCAGTTTTGGGGAAGCAGATTATAGCCACATAAATCTAGTGGAGGACAGAAGAGAAGATTGGTCTTGGGGAAGCAGGTTATAAATGTACTGTGTCCACAACCAGTTTTCCTCCTTATTCTCTTTAGCAGCTCATCTATACATTCAAAGAAATAATGGATATTTGCTTGAAAATAGAAAAGGCTTTCTTCCGTACAGTATTGCATTCATGGAACAAAACTCCACTTTCTTTCACAATTTATGATGCTTTGAATTATTGTTGCTTGAAAACAGACCTTATTAATCTAAACCCTGTTACTTATGCACACAGAGGTGGTATTCTATGCTTGGGACAAATAGATTTAATTGTGAAATTCAATCCAGAGGCTTTGTTGCACTGCTTGTTACTTGTGGATATCTAGATAAAAAACAACTTTGGCAAATGAACCACATGAAATCTATGAACCAGATGTTTTTGAATACCACCTCTGTGGGCATAAGTTATAGGGGTTAAGGTACCAAATAAAAAATATCCCTTAAATGCAAGAAATACGGTCTCCAAAAGCTGGTTCTTTTTAGATGTCTGAGTCAAGCTACAGGTCAGGTTGAAATAAGTTATGTGGTCTTTCTCCAGGTTTCCATTTTTCCCACTACCCTATTGTCTTAGAAGCCACTCTGGCTGTCCCCTTGCTCCCTCTGAGTCTCAGAGGAAGCTACCAAGAAGCGCAGGGATTCTTGAAATGAGCACAGTCCAAGAATTGGCATTGAGAATGTTATGCTTGTGAGCCCTTTACCTCAGGTCTCCTATATCTAGGTGGGCAGTGGGGGAAGGAGGCCAGGGGGTTTCCACTGATCAATTCTTTAGATGGTTCTAGGAATCTAGGTGAAATAATTTTGCAGGGGGTCAGTATAGGCCTAACTCTTCTCTCATTAAAACATTTTCAGTCTCTAAAGCTGCCAATCAAAAATAAAACAAACCAAAGAGATGAAAACATATAAAATGCATTTTCTCTCTGATTCTGAGTAGAATACTAGAGAAAAACTTCCAAAATCAGAAGCAAGACTATGAAAAAGAGATTGAATCACTGAAGGAGGAAATTAAGACTCTCAGCAAAGAGAAAATTCAGCTACAGCATCAAATTCAGCAAGAACTTATTATTCAGGAAGGCTTAAAAATGGAAGCAGAACAGCTTACAAAACAGTTACAGGTAAGTAAGTGCATCCAGCAAACAGTGCTGAGATGAGCCATTCGTCAGTATCTTTATTACATAAAACAAAGAGTGGATGAGAAAATTCTATTTTTGCTGGGTAGATCTATCTATAACATGATTTAAAACAGCTTTTAGTTGTTGAATCTGTATGATGTCATAATAGCATGTTTTAACTTTTGACTTTAATCTAGAAAAAACAAAAAATACTGTTACTTTTATTTTTAAAAAATAGCAGCTATTTAGTGAATTTATTGGAAGTAAAGTATGAAAATTGCACTTAAAGAAAAGTCTCTCAATATAATGTCAGACTTTAGAAAAAAGTCATAATTTATTGCCCTGTATAAAAGAACATTTGTTACATCATGGTTCTCTTAAAATAAACACATAACGGTGAGAACTGTGCCTCTTGAAGGGCTGAAACTGGAGCTTAAGCTCCATTAAAACGTATGAATTTCCATATGGAATAAGGTACTGCTTCCTTAGGTGGGTGTTTTCTAAATGTAATCTATTCTCATTTGTAAACTTTGTTTCTGCTGAAAAACAGCAGCAACAACAAAATCTTTTTTTAGTGTCAAATATTATTGCTTAGAATATATAAATATATGTGGCTGTGTCAAATCTTACTTTCTGTTCTCCCATTTAGAGGAATGTTTAAGAGATTGCTGACCTAAATAGAACATTGTCTTGTAAAATATTTATCAAGCAGCTCTAAACCTTAATATTCCTTATGATTTAACGTGTATCTGGACCATCTGTCATTTATCTTTATCTCATTCAATTTTGTCTTGTTCTAAAAAGAAAAATTGTAATACAGACAATGTCTATTTCAGATAATACCTGAATTGCAAAAAGAAATTGAACTCCTTCAGGCACAGAAAATTGATGTGGAAAAGCAGGCCCAATCCCAGAAGCGAGAGATGAGAGGTAGTTTACTTACTGTGCAACTCGGGGAATTTGCAAGAGCAGCGTAACATTTAATTGCCTTGTCCTGTATTTGTTCAGTGGTGCCTGTCAGATTTTTAAGATACTTTAGAAAAGCACAAATAGAGATCAAAACTGTCTCAGACCATTAAAAAAGACCCAAAGCCCCTTCCCAACTGGAATGAACTACGTATCATCAGTTACATCTTCCTCCTTAAGAGAGAGCCAGGGGCAACAAGGTGAGTCTTGCAGCACCAACACTGGGTGCTAATAGAAAGGCCCTCTCACTGGGAACACTGGACTTTCTACTCCCTCCCATTTAAATGTGGGTGCTGTTAGCTCAGGTGTTCAGTTGCACTTGGGGAGGGAAGGAAAGAAAAGGTCCTTCCAAAACACCGTTCCGACTATTCAGTGCTCTAAACTAACCCAAACTAAAAACTTAATCTTCACTTAGAAATAAATAAGTATCCAGTACAATTCACAGGACATAGATACACTCTCTAGTCCTAATTCAGCAAGGTAATTTTAGATATGTGCCTAGCTTTAAATACACAAGTAGTTTCACTACAGTCAAAAGGACTACTTGTTGATTGAAGTTAGGAATGAGCTTAGGTACTCTGTTGAATTGTGGCCTTTGTGATCAACACCATTGTATAATTGTGCTGCCATTTTGCACTAGATGCAATACCAGATGTCTTGATGATGCAGCCCTCATTAACATATCCTGCTGACCTTTGAGAGAGAGGGCAAATCATGGGTTCATTTGCCAAAGTTGTTTTTTATCTAGATATCCACAAGTAACAAGGGGTGCAACAAAGCCTCTGGATTGAATTTCACAATTAAATCTATTTTTCCCAAGCATAGAACCTGATTTCTTTTAAAAAAAGGCTGATTTGATTTTTCCTGGGATACAGGTAATCTAAAATCTAAAAAGAAAACTTTATTTTCAGAGAAAATGTCAGAAGTTGCAAAACAACTCCTTGACAGCTATGACTTAGAAGATGTAAGAAGCAGGTAACCTATTGATTATTTTTCCTAGTTTGGTGGGGGGGCATTGTTTGTTTTGGGGGTTTTTTTTAAATAAAGCAAACTTCAGAGATTTTAAGAAACTTAATTTCTTTAGTCATCTACAGTTGTTGTTGTGCATTCTAGGCTCTCTACAGAAGATTTGGAACATTTAAATGAAGATGGAGAAATTTGGTTTGCTTACGAGGGCCTGAAAAAAGCAACAAGGTTAGCTTAATCATGTAATACATATTCATTATTTTGCTCTGGGGTTCAGAGGAGACAGCAAGGGGCAGTAATGTGGCTTGTCTTAAAATAAAGTAGTTGAAAACATTGTATAACACACAACCAAACATTGTCAAATAACTGGTTAGGGTTGAAGTACCTTTAGATAGTTGGATGCTGAAGCTTGGGAATACCACTCCTGCCAAGTTTTGTCTGAAGAGATGGGGTTTGGAGCAATGGAATTTCTTCAGAAAAAGATCCATGAGGTTTAAAAAGGTGTAGGGCTGGGAAACTTGGGAGACTTCACAAGGACTCATAGAGATATAGAAAGCTAGGACAGAAGACAGAAACAGAAGGTCAATTTTTCATAGCAGAGGACTCCAGTTTAATTTTGGGGCAGCCATGATGCAAAGAAACTAGCTGCATAGAAGCTCATTGGCCCAAAAGAAGAAGGAAATCCTAAACTCCTTTTGAAGGTTTTGACCTAAGTCTTGACTTGAGTGCTGAAGAAACCAAGGCAGGGAAATACATGTAGATATGCATTATATTGTCTAGATCTGCCTATTTTTTGTGCCATCTAAAGTTAAGGGGTGTTTGGTTTCTGGAATCCTCATAAAATTTCTTCAGCTGTCATATGAACGCTATTATGTAGATTGCTCACAATACTGGAGGTCTGGGAAAGGTTACCTAAAAATTTGGGTTAAGGGGACCTTGGGCATTTGGGTTGCATGGTGCCATTTGCATATAACTGAAAATGTCTACACTGAGAGAATGAATCAGGGAGGCTTAGAAATGAAACATTGCCTGGGACAAAATTAAGAGCATAGAGATCTAAAAGGGAAAGACCTGAGCAGCAGCCTGAGCTGCACCAGAACTGTAGGGCAGCATGAATAAAGGATTACTTACGCGAGTAAGACTTGCAGAATTGGACATTATAAATATTGAAGCAACTACAGTTTACAGCAGTATTCTATGCAGAGCAAGCGCTGAACCTGAACCCTCGCCTCCCCCCTGGGTGTTTTTAATAGCTAAAGGAGTTTTTATGGAGATGCATGAGAATCCCTATAAATTCTCATTTTTTGGTAGGAGATTAGACCATTCACTATAAAAGCCACTGGCTGCAAGTTGCTTATACTCTTATGGTGGGCATACTGTATGCAAGAGAGCATTTTCTGTTTTAAATTAGTCACACAGCTCCTATTTAGGACTGTACAGGTAGAAAAGGGACAAATTATGACAAAGTTTTAACAAAAACTGCATTGTTACTTGTCAGACCCATATGTATTGGACTGGAACCACAGTGAATGTAATTAGGGCTTTCTTACACTTTAATCCACCTCAGATTAGTTACTTTCTCTGATTTATGTGTCTGCATGTCTGTCTTAAGAGGTTCTAAGGTTGTTAAAGGAAATCCCCACTCCTTAAAGACTTAAATAGTACATTGCATGAGTGCTGAGATGAGGACAAATGAGAAAATTGAACAGCTTTGAACTGAATATGTAAGGCTGCTTACAGACATGGAAAAAAAAAAACAGTGCTTTACTTAAACTTAGCATATTCCCACACTGAGCCCAGTGCATGCCCAAAAGCAGCAGTGCATTAGTTGCACCCACTTTCCCATTGTCTGTAGAGATTAGATGCTTTAGTGGGGACTTTTTGGTGCTTAATTCTAGTAGTTGATTGAATCAGCCTTAGCTAAAAGCATCAAAAAGCACTACTGAAGTACCTGATATCTACAGATTCTGCAGAACCAAGTCAAAGTAATGGGCTGCTGCTTTCAGTAGAATGCAGTTTTGGGGTTTCTTGTTCCCCATGTCTGTCAGCACCCTGTATGGCTAAAACTACCCAAACTGATCCCTCATAATGTGAAACAAACTGTATATTTTGGGATATTTTGTGCTTACATAAGTTCCATGGAGGTACAGATTATGCACTCGCTAGATATAACTGGATGCTAACATAGTGTCTTGTTATTACTTTGATTTGATTTTAACCATAAGAGAAAGCACTAAGATCATACTGTAGCTGTAGTTTACATTTTTCTTTTTTAACAGAGTGTTGGAAAGTCATTTCCAGTCTCAGAAAGACATTTATGAAAAAGAGATTGAAGCTTTGAACTTTAAAGTTGAACATCTCAGTCAAGAAATTAACCATTTACAGAAGCTATTTAGGGAGGAAAACGACATAAATGACAGTATTCAACTCGAAGTCAGCAGGCTAACATCAGAAAACATGGTAAGATTCAAGTAGTACTGGACCAATTATTTTTCTTTTAATACCCTTAAAAGATGTATCTTGTCTATCAATCATACTTGTTAAATGGTCTTGATTAAACTATTAAAACAGTAAATATCTATTAAGCTATTAATATAACATTTTCCCAGTGCTGAGTCAAATAAAATAGAATTGCAACATACTATACTGCATGCTGACCTTCCTGTGTTACAGATGTATACACCAAGCAATCACTGTCATACTGAAATGATACTTAAGAAACAATTCAGATGTGACTTGTAGTCGAAACAGTGGGGTTTTCCCGCTATTAGTTTTGAAAAGTGCTGTGCAATGCGTGAACAGGTGCGGTGCTGTTCTGCAGTGCTGGAGCAGGTGGGCAGAAGCTTGTTTTGTTGTTTTATGTGGAAGCTGTGAAATTTTTCATTGCAACAGCTATTTGTACAGCAAAGTTCAAAAAGATTAAAATCCAATATTTGGAGGTAGTCATAGATTCATAAACATTAGGGCTGGAAGGGACCTCGGAAGGTCGTTGAGTCTAGCCCCCTGTCCCAGTCCATAATGATATCCTCAGTAGTTCTGTATACATACCCATCAGTATTCTCATAGATCCTTCACATTATTAGATAGTATTCCAAATCTCTAGCTTAAATAGCACAGACCTCTAGTAATTAAGCTAAAGGGGGTTCTCTGTATATGTCTATTGACTTTTAAGTCTTATATTCTCTTTATACGTGTTTGAGCAGGTTTGATACTGTGTCCACTAGAGGGCAGTTATATACACAATAAGTAGCTAGTAAATTGCAAACATCACTTACAAGTCCAAAGACTGGACATTACATGTCAGTGAAGTATTTAGAAATTAAATTATTCATGAGTTTTTTTTCTCTTTAAAGGTGATCCCAGACCTTAAACAGCAGATTTCTGAACTGCAAAACCAAAAGATGGATCTTGAAAACCATTTTCAAGAACAGACTGCAAAGATGAAAGGTAAAATACCAATGTGGGGCCCGGGCTTGCAAGCACTCAGTGTAAGCCTAAAGCTTACTAATACGAATTTCAGATTTTTGGCTTTTAAAATCTCAAGCACAACATTTTGTTGACTCCGGTTTTGTGTTTTTTTCCCTTGTTAATAAAATGTGAAACTATATAAAGAAAATGTAAGTTGTTAGTACAGTTTATTTTTGTATGATCTTTGCACTAAGTAGGTATGAAAAGCATTAAAGCTGTGTTAGCAAGTAGCCTGGACAGAGCATTGCACTAACATAGCTAGATTGTTTTTAGAACCTCAGCTAGCTCATTCAGAGCTAGACTGAGTCTCTGTGCAGCACTACTTTGTGCTCCATAAGTATACCCTAATGATCTGTAATCTAGTCACAAATGGCCAGTAGACAGTTCCCCTCATGATTTTGTCTACAGTAATGAAAGATTTCCTAGTTTCCCCTGTGCATAAGTTACATATAACCCAGCAAAGGTTTTTCATTTGTGTGAGGCTTCATTGCTAAATGTAATTGCTGTAGTAGTGCCACAAATGACTCTGCCATTTAGTCGTCATATTGGAGTACTATAGGTAGAAATAGTCAGTTATTTAACTTTTAATTACATGCCATATTCACTGCAAACTGCTCTGTACTCCATGGTATTTACCATGTAGTGTTCAGTTCTGTACCTTTTATGTGAATTCAACTCCCATTGTGTACTGGAACTAATAACTTGTTGCTATGCAAGGAAAGGACTTTTTAATACAATATTTGCTTTGTAATCCAATTTCAGTAGATGAAATAGGAAGTGATTCATACTTCCTTACAAATACTAATGTTCTAATATTATAACATAATGCTGTAACATAAAGTGCTAACATAGTCAAGAAGCTGCTCCCCCATGTGGATTTTGTTGTGTGTGGGTTTGTTTGAGGGGTTTTTTGTTTTGATTTTTTTTGTTTTTAAATTATCACAGGAAAAATGGAAGGAATATCTGATCAGTTGCATCATAATCTATCAAAGGAAGGAACCCCAAGGAGGTGAGTGGTATTTATTTTGGTGGTGTTTTGAGTTGTTGTTGTTGGGGTTGTTTTGCTTTAAAAAAAAAAAAATCTACCATATTTACTAGTATCTAAGATGATCCCCCCGATAATTAGATTCTATAGATGGAAAATGTATATATTTGTTATAATTTCCCAGGTTTAGAATCTAATTATTAGAGGACGGTCTTGAATTCATCTTCCCCATTGCTGCAGGGGGGCAGGCAGGTGGTGTAGGGAAGTCGAGGAGTTTCCCCCTACTTGTGCTTGCCACCTGCTCCCTTCCTGACCGCCCCCTCTGCCCCCCCGCCTCTCCCCCCAACTTCTGCTCCCTTCTCTA